ACTGGAGTTTGTCTTTGGAAGACCACGCCAGTACTACCCTCGGCATAGTAAAGGGTCACTACGTTCGAAAGGTTTGGCGCAAGTACAAGCTTTGCTGCGAGTACCTCTCACATGGACTGGTTCGGTGCCTTGGACGAGCTGCATTCAAGCCTCCAGCAATCCCAACCAGGATGGATGTGTTGGTCAAATGCTGAATGTGTATAAACTGGTGTCATTGCTGGCGAAACAGGATGGGCACATTCTGTTTTTGGGAGAAGAGCGAGCAGATTTTAGCGCATGTTGTGCGGCGTATCATCACTTGAAATAGTGATCATCAGAAAAAATGGTTGCAGTGCTGCGTGTTGATGTCAGAAAATAACAGCCACTACTAGCTGACATCTTCGCAAATGCCATTCTGGTAATTATGCAGCTTCTATCGTAGAAACCCACGGTCAAGATACAGCTTCGGCGAATCGAATCAAGCAGCCAGGTCTCACCTTTTTTAGGCCCCCCCCCCCCCCACCCGGAGCTACGGGCTTCACCTCCTTTAGGCCCCTGCCGAGAGGTCCAGGTTTCACCTCCTTAAGGCCCCCCCGGAGAGCTCCAGGTTTCACCTCCTTTAGGCACCCCTGAGAGCTCCAGGTTTCACCTCCTTTAGCCCCCCCGAAATCACCCCCTTTAGGCCCCCCCAAAAAGCTCCAGGTTTCACCCCCTTAGCCCCCCAAAACCTCCTTTAGGCCCCTTCGAGAGCTCCAAGTTTCACCCGAGAGAGCTCCCACCTCCTTTAGGTCCCTGAAAGCTCCTGGTTTAGGCCCCCCCGAGAGCTCCACACCTCCTTTAGGCCCCCCGAGAGCTGCAGGTTTCACCTCCTTTAGGCTCCCCGAAGATCAAGCTCCACGCAACACTCTGTGTTCCAGCAGCATTTTCCGTTGCAGTATCAGTCATGTAGTCATGACACTACAACATGGCCTGAACCGAACAGTACATTAAGAAGTACAGAGTTAAATATGCCGCAGCCTTGCACCAACCACTTTATGGAGCACCGGAAAATGTCACGTGCACTGGACGCCCTTGGCGTTGCGCTGCAGTCAACCGCAAGGGAACCACTGATGCTGGAGCGCTTTGGCAGAGTGGTTCCCATGCTATTTGCAAAGGATGACTGGGAAAGCGACGATCCATTTCATTTGGATAACGGTGAACGTGACCAAGTGCATGATCAGCTTCGGCAGCTGCATACTGAACGTGCTGCCCTTCTTTGCTCATGCAGATGGCTGTCTACAAAGGTTGAGTTGCTCAAAACAATGATTTTTTAGCAAACCATGACAGTTTCTGTAAATCAATCCACTCGTAAGCACATAAGTTAGTGTTTCCCAAAGCTCTGTGGCTTTTAGAGAATATACGGGGATGATAGGCTGTGAAGATTCCTGGACTACTCTTTGAAAACGGCCAGGTCAATAAGATGGAGCAGCAATGGCTCTGCGACAGCGGAACATGCATGCTGGCACTGAATGTCGACGCCGTGTTTGAGCTCTTGTACGAAGTCCATGTTGAGCAAGACGTTTCCATCGAAGACATCCTAAACGTCATCTTTGACAGCACCGAGCAAATCCAGCGAATGCTCAGCAAGCTGGAGAAAGAGGATGACCCTCAGATGGACGCGATCCTGGACATGTGCCTAGCTACTATGGATCAACGTCAACAACGAAGGGTATTGCAGAGGTTGGTGAATGCCTTTAGTATGTATGAATATGTCGACTAGACAACATCCGAGGAAAAAAGGCAAGCTGGCACAGATCTTCCCTACACAAAAACAGGGTCGAAAGGTATCACATAAGAAGCCTTCACCTCCTTCAGAGACCCCCGAGAGCTCCTGGTTTCACGTTTTCAGGGTTCCCGAAAGAGAGCTCCAGGCTTCACCTCCTTCAGGGCCCCTCCAGAGCTCTGGTCTCACCTTTTATTCAGGGTTCCCGAAGGAGAGCTCCAGGTTTCACTTCCTTTAGGGTCCCGAGAGATCAAGCTTCGCCTCCATTAGGATCACCAAGACAGAGGTGAAAGCCCCCCCAAGAGCTCCAGGTTTCACCTCCTTTAGGCCCCAAGAGCTCCAGGTTTCACCTCGTCTAGGCCCCCCCCAAGAGTCCAGGTGCCAGGTTTCACCTCCTTTAGGCCGCCCGAGAGCTCCAGGTTTCACCTCCTTTTAGGCACCCCGAGAGCTCCAGGTTTCACCTCCTTTAAGCCCCCCCGAGAGCTCCAGGTTTCACCTCCTTTAGGCCCCCCCAAGAGCTCCAGGTTTCACCTCCTTTAGGCGCCCCCGAGAGCTCCAGGTTTCACCTCCTTTAGGCCCCTCGAAAGCTCCAGGTTTCACCTCCTTTAGGCCCCCCCAAGAGCTCCAGGTTTCACCTCCTTTAGGCACCCCAAGAGCTCCAGGTTTCACCTCCTTTAGGCGCCCCCGAGAGCTCCAGGTTTCACCTCCTTTAGGCCCCCCGAGAGCTCCAGGTTTCACCTCCTTTAGGCGCCCCCGAGAGCTCCAGGTTTCACCTCCTTTAGGCCCCCCCAAGAGCTCCAGGTTTCACCTCCTTTAGGTTTCACCTCCTTTAGGCCCCCCCAAGAGCTCCAGGTTTCACCTCCTTTAGGCGCCCCCGAGAGCGCCAGGTTTCACCTCCTTTAGGCGCCCCCGAGAGCTCCAGGTTTCACCTCCTTTAGGCCCCCCGAGAGCTCCAGGTTTCACCTCCTTTAGGCCCCCCGAGAGCTCCAGGTTTCACCTCCTTTAGGCGCGCCCCCGAGAGCTCCAGGTTTCACCTCCTTTAGGCCCCTCGAAAGCTCCAGGTTTCACCTCCTTTAGGCCCCCCCAAGAGCTCCAGGTTTCACCTCCTTTAGGCACCCCAAGAGCTCCAGACCTCCTTTACACGCCCCCGAGAGCTCCAGGTTTCACCTCCTTTAGGCCCCCCGAGAGCTCCAGGTTTCACCTCCTTTAGGCCCCCCCCAGAGCTCCAGGTTTCACCTCCTTTAGGCCCCCCGAGAGCTCCAGGTTTCACCTCCTTCAGGCCCCCCCAAGAGCTCCAGGTTTCACCTCCTTTAGGCCACCCGAGAGCTCCAGGTTTCACCTCCTTTAAGGCACCCCGAGAGCTCCAGGTTTCACCTCCTTTAAGGCACCCCGAGAGCTCCAGGTTTCACCTCCTTTACCCTCCCTAACAGCTCCAGGTTTCACCTCCTTTAGGCCCCCCCAAGAGCTCCAGGTTTCACCTCCTTTAGGCCCCCCCAAGAGCTCCAGGTTTCACCTCCTTTAGGCCCCCCCAAGAGCTCCAGGTTTCACCTCCTTTAGGCACCCCAAGAGCTCCAGGTTTCACCTCCTTTAGGCACCCCCAAGAGCTCCAGGTTTCACCTCCTTTAGGCACCCCCAAGAGCTCCAGGTTTCACCTCCTTTAGGCGCCCCAAGAGCTCCAGGTTTCACCTCCTTTAGGCGCCCCAAGAGCTCCAGGTTTCACCTCCTTTAGGCGCCCCCGAGAGCTCCAGGTTTCACCTCCTTTAGGCCCCCCCAAGAGCTCCAGGTTTCACATCCTTTAGGCCCCCACCTCCTTCTCCTTTAGGCCCCCCGAAAGCTCCAGGTTTCACCTCCTTTAGGCCCTCCCGAGAGCTTCAGGTTTCACCTCCTTTAGGCCCCCCAACTCCTTTAGGCCCCCCGAGAGCTCCAGGCTTCACCTCCTTTAGGCCCCCCCAAGAGCTCCAGGTTTCACCTCCTTTAGGCCCCCCCGAGAGCTCCAGGTTTCACCTCCTTTAGGGCCCCCGAAAGCTCCAGGTTTCACCTCCTTTAGGGCCCAAGAGAATCCAGGTTTCACCTCCTTTAGGCGCCCCCGAGAGCTCCAGGTTTCACCTCCTTTAGGCCCCCCCAGACCTCCAGGTTTCACCTCCTTTAGGCCCCCGAGAGCTCCAGGTTTCACCTCCTTTAGGCCCCCCCAGACCTCCAGGTTTCACCTCCTTTAGGCCCCCCAAGAGCTCCAGGTTTCACCTCCTTTAGGCCCGCCGGAGAGCTCCAGGTTTCACCTCCTTTAGGCCTTTCCAGGAGCTCCAGGTTTCACCTCCTTCAGGCCTCCCAGGAGCTCAAGGTTTCACCTCCTTTAGCCCCCGCAGGAGCTCCAGGTTTCACCTCCTTTAGGCCCCCCCAAAACTCCAGGTTTCACCTCCTTTAGGCCCCCCCGAGAGCTCCAGGTTTCACTCCAGGTTTCACCTCCTTTAAGCCCCCCCAAGAGCTCCAGGTTTCACCTCCTTTACCCTCCCTAACAGCTCCAGGTTTCACCTCCTTTAGGCCCCCCCAAGATCTCCAGGCTTCACCTCCTTTAGGCCCCCCGAGAGCTCCAGGTTTCACCTCCTTTAGGCCCCCCAAGTTCACCTTCTTTAGGCACCCCCGAGAGCTCCAGGTTTCACTTCCTTTAGCCTTCCCCTCCCGAAAGCTCCCGAAACTCCAGGCTCCACCGCCCCCGAGAGCTCGAGGTTTCACCTCCTTTAGGCACCCGAGAGCTCCAGGTTTCACTTCCTTTAGCGCCCCGACTCCCCCGAGAGTTCCAAGCAGTAGCTCCTTCAGAACTCCTTCAGAGTTTCCGAGAGCTCCAGTTTCACTTCCTTTAGAGCTGAGACCCCCGAAAGCTCCAGGCTTTACCTTCTTTTAGGGCACCCGAAGGCTGTAGGCTTCTCCTCCTTTAGGGCCCCCAAAAGCTTTAGACCCTCGAGAGCTCCAGGCTTCCCTTCCTTTAGGGAGGGCTCACCCACAGCGATTCACTTGCTCCAAGGCTTCCAGCAGGGTTTCGGCTAATTTAGCGTATGTCGCTCTTAGCAGCACATGACAGAATCCCAGTGCATGTGTTTTGCGGTGCCACGCTCCAGGCTTCAGCTGGTTTCGGGCTGTGAGCGTCAAATCCAATAGTGCTTTGTGAGCAATATTCACTGCTTGCTTGATACAGCAATTTCCACTTTGGCATGTACTTCTTCGTAGTTCTTTTGCAGCAATGTGGCATATTGCTACACGCGCCATGCGTTCTTCCGCCATGCGGCGCATACCTTTGGTATCTTTGGCACCCATTGTTCTTTTGCTCTTCAAGCTTATGTGCAAGTGGCGGCAGCGTGCGAAAAGGGGATTGCAGAAGTGGATTGTGACAGAGTACCGCTGGCCACGAGTGGAGGATCACGTTTGTTTGGACATAGACCTACCAGCAGCTGAGTGCAGTGATCTGGCAGATCCGGCACATGCTGCTTTGGCAGGGAATTTGGAATTCATGCAAACGTTTGGAGCCAAGATCGCCGAGGGTGTTGATGGATACCTTGCATCGACGTGGGTTCATCGGAACCTTGGGTTGGCTCATCACCAAATCACCCTGGTTGCATGGGGAAGTCCGCACATGGAACTGTCAGATGGAACCTATAGCAAGCAAAAAGCTGGAGCAGCTGCCTGCGAGAAAGCTTGTGTGTTCCAAAGCTTATGCAAGCAATTTCGGCACAGCTTCGTGTTGATTTTATTTGCTGGGCATGGCGTCCATCCTGTTCAAGCAGGAAGCGGCGAAGCAGTCTTGGCTCTTCCTGCTCTACTGGAGTTTGTCTTTGGTAGACCACGCCAGTACTACCCTCGGCATAGTAAAGGGTCACTACGTTCGAAAGGTTTGGCGCAAGTACAAGCTTTGCTGCGAGTACCTCTCACATGGACTGGTTCGGTGCCTTGGACGAGCTGCATTCAAGCCTCCAGCAATCCCAACCAGGATGGATGTGTTGGTCAAATGCTGAATGTGTATAAACTGGTGTCATTGCTGGCGAAACAGGATGGGCACATTCTGTTTTTGGGAGAAGAGCGAGCAGATTTTAGCGCATGTTGTGCGGCGTATCATCACTTGAAATAGTGATCATCAGAAAAAATGGTTGCAGTGCTGCGTGTTGATGTCAGAAAATAACAGCCACTACTAGCTGACATCTTCGCAAATGCCATTTCTGGTAATTATGCAGCTTCTATCGTAGAAACCCACGGTCAAGATACAGCTTCGGCGAATCGAATCAAGCAGCCAGGTCTCACCTTTTTTAGGCCCCCCCCCCCCCACCCGGAGCTACGGGCTTCACCTCCTTTAGGCCCCTGCCGAGAGGTCCAGGTTTCACCTCCTTAAGGCCCCCCCGGAGAGCTCCAGGTTTCACCTCCTTTAGGCACCCCTGAGAGCTCCAGGTTTCACCTCCTTTAGCCCCCCCGAAATCACCCCCTTTAGGCCCCCCCAAAAAGCTCCAGGTTTCACCCCCTTAGCCCCCCAAAACCTCCTTTAGGCCCCTTCGAGAGCTCCAAGTTTCACCCGAGAGAGCTCCCACCTCCTTTAGGTCCCTGAAAGCTCCTGGTTTAGGCCCCCCCGAGAGCTCCACACCTCCTTTAGGCCCCCCGAGAGCTGCAGGTTTCACCTCCTTTAGGCTCCCCGAAGATCAAGCTCCACGCAACACTCTGTGTTCCAGCAGCATTTTCCGTTGCAGTATCAGTCATGTAGTCATGACACTACAACATGGCCTGAACCGAACAGTACATTAAGAAGTACAGAGTTAAATATGCCGCAGCCTTGCACCAACCACTTTATGGAGCACCGGAAAATGTCACGTGCACTGGACGCCCTTGGCGTTGCGCTGCAGTCAACCGCAAGGGAACCACTGATGCTGGAGCGCTTTGGCAGAGTGGTTCCCATGCTATTTGCAAAGGATGACTGGGAAAGCGACGATCCATTTCATTTGGATAACGGTGAACGTGACCAAGTGCATGATCAGCTTCGGCAGCTGCATACTGAACGTGCTGCCCTTCTTTGCTCATGCAGATGGCTGTCTACAAAGGTTGAGTTGCTCAAAACAATGATTTTTTAGCAAACCATGACAGTTTCTGTAAATCAATCCACTCGTAAGCACATAAGTTAGTGTTTCCCAAAGCTCTGTGGCTTTTAGAGAATATACGGGGATGATAGGCTGTGAAGATTCCTGGACTATTCTTTGAAAACGGCCAGGTCAATAAGATGGAGCAGCAATGGCTCTGCGACAGCGGAACATGCATGCTGGCACTGAATGTCGACGCCGTGTTTGAGCTCTTGTACGAAGTCCATGTTGAGCAAGACGTTTCCATCGAAGACATCCTAAACGTCATCTTTGACAGCACCGAGCAAATCCAGCGAATGCTCAGCAAGCTGGAGAAAGAGGATGACCCTCAGATGGACGCGATCCTGGACATGTGCCTAGCTACTATGGATCAACGTCAACAACGAAGGGTATTGCAGAGGTTGGTGAATGCCTTTAGTATGTATGAATATGTCGACTAGACAACATCCGAGGAAAAAAGGCAAGCTGGCACAGATCTTCCCTACACAAAAACAGGGTCGAAAGGTATCACATAAGAAGCCTTCACCTCCTTCAGAGACCCCCGAGAGCTCCTGGTTTCACGTTTTCAGGGTTCCCGAAAGAGAGCTCCAGGCTTCACCTCCTTCAGGGCCCCTCCAGAGCTCTGGTCTCACCTTTTATTCAGGGTTCCCGAAGGAGAGCTCCAGGTTTCACTTCCTTTAGGGTCCCGAGAGATCAAGCTTCGCCTCCATTAGGATCACCAAGACAGAGGTGAAAGCCCCCCCAAGAGCTCCAGGTTTCACCTCCTTTAGGCCCCAAGAGCTCCAGGTTTCACCTCGTCTAGGCCCCCCCCAAGAGTCCAGGTGCCAGGTTTCACCTCCTTTAGGCCGCCCGAGAGCTCCAGGTTTCACCTCCTTTTAGGCACCCCGAGAGCTCCAGGTTTCACCTCCTTTAAGCCCCCCCGAGAGCTCCAGGTTTCACCTCCTTTAGGCCCCCCCAAGAGCTCCAGGTTTCACCTCCTTTAGGCGCCCCCGAGAGCTCCAGGTTTCACCTCCTTTAGGCCCCTCGAAAGCTCCAGGTTTCACCTCCTTTAGGCCCCCCCAAGAGCTCCAGGTTTCACCTCCTTTAGGCACCCCAAGAGCTCCAGGTTTCACCTCCTTTAGGCGCCCCCGAGAGCTCCAGGTTTCACCTCCTTTAGGCCCCCCGAGAGCTCCAGGTTTCACCTCCTTTAGGCGCCCCCGAGAGCTCCAGGTTTTACCTCCTTTAGGCCCCCCCAAGAGCTACAGGTTTCACCTCCTTTAGGCCCCCCCAAGAGCTCCAGGTTTCACCTCCTTTAGGCGCCCCCGAGAGCGCCAGGTTTCACCTCCTTTAGGCGCCCCCGAGAGCTCCAGGTTTCACCTCCTTTAGGCCCCCCGAGAGCTCCAGGTTTCGCCTCCTTTAGGTTCCCCCAAGAGCTCCAGGTTTCACCTCCTTTAGGCCCCCCGAGAGCTCCAGGTTTCACCTCCTTTGGGCGCCCCCGAGAGCTCCAGGTTTCACCTCCTTTAGGCCCCTCGAAAGCTCCAGGTTTCACCTCCTTTAGGCCCCCCCAAGAGCTCCAGGTTTCACCTCCTTTAGGCACCCCAAGAGCTCCAGGTTTCACCTCCTTTACACGCCCCCGAGAGCTCCAGGTTTCACCTCCTTTAGGCCCCCCGAGAGCTCCAGGTTTCACCTCCTTTAGGCCCCCCCCAGAGCTCCAGGTTTCACCTCCTTTAGGCCCCCCGAGAGCTCCAGGCACCTCCTTCAGGCCCCCCCAAGAGCTCCAGGTTTCACCTCCTTTAGGCCACCCGAGAGCTCCAGGTTTCACCTCCTTTAAGGCACCCCGAGAGCTCCAGGTTTCACCTCCTTTAAGGCACCCCGAGAGCTCCAGGTTTCACCTCCTTTACCCTCCCTAACAGCTCCAGGTTTCACCTCCTTTAGGCCCCCCCAAGAGCTCCAGGTTTCACCTCCTTTAGGCCCCCCCAAGAGCTCCAGGTTTCACCTCCTTTAGGCCCCCCCAAGAGCTCCAGGTTTCACCTCCTTTAGGCACCCCAAGAGCTCCAGGTTTCACCTCCTTTAGGCACCCCCAAGAGCTCCAGGTTTCACCTCCTTTAGGCCCCCCCAAGAGCTCCAGGTTTCACCTCCTTTAGGCGCCCCAAGAGCTCCAGGTTTCACCTCCTTTAGGCGCCCCAAGAGCTCCAGGTTTCACCTCCTTTAGGCGCCCCCGAGAGCTCCAGGTTTCACCTCCTTTAGGCCCCCCCGAGAGCTCCAGGTTTCACCTCCTTTAAGCCCCCCCAAGACCTCCAGGTTTCACATCCTTTAGGCCCCCACCTCCTTCTCCTTTAGGCCCCCCGAAAGCTCCAGGTTTCACCTCCTTTAGGCCCTCCCGAGAGCTCCAGGTTTCACCTCCTTTAGGCCCCCCAAGAGCTTCAGGTTTCACCTCCTTTAGGCCCCCCAACTCCTTTAGGCCCCCCGAGAGCTCCAGGCTTCACCTCCTTTAGGCCCCCCCAAGAGCTCCAGGTTTCACCTCCTTTAGGCCCCCCCGAGAGCTCCAGGTTTCACCTCCTTTAGGGCCCCCGGAAGCTCCAGGTTTCACCTCCTTTAGGGCCCAAGAGAATCCAGGTTTCACCTCCTTTAGGCGCCCCCGAGAGCTCCAGGTTTCACCTCCTTTAGGCCCCCCCAGACCTCCAGGTTTCACCTCCTTTAGGCCCCCGAGAGCTCCAGGTTTCACCTCCTTTAGGCCCCCCCAGACCTCCAGGTTTCACCTCCTTTAGGCCCCCCCAAGAGCTCCAGGTTTCACCTCCTTTAGGCACCCCAAGAGCTCCAGGTTTCACCTCCTTTAGGCACCCCCAAGAGCTCCAGGTTTCACCTCCTTTAGGCCCCCCCAAGAGCTCCAGGTTTCACCTCCTTTAGGCGCCCCAAGAGCTCCAGGTTCACCTCCTTTAGGCGCCCCAAGAGCTCCAGGTTTCACCTCCTTTAGGCGCCCCCGAGAGCTCCAGGTTTCACCTCCTTTAGGCCCCCCCGAGAGCTCCAGGTTTCACCTCCTTTAAGCCCCCCCAAGAGCTCCAGGTTTCACCTCCTTTACCCTCCCTAACAGCTCCAGGTTTCACCTCCTTTAGGCCCCCCCAAGATCTCCAGGCTTCACCTCCTTTAGGCCCCCCGAGAGCTCCAGGTTTCACCTCCTTTAGGCCCCCCAAGTTCACCTTCTTTAGGCACCCCCGAGAGCTCCAGGTTTCACTTCCTTTAGCCTTCCCCTCCCGAAAGCTCCCGAAACTCCAGGCTCCACCGCCCCCGAGAGCTCGAGGTTTCACCTCCTTTAGGCACCCGAGAGCTCCAGGTTTCACTTCCTTTAGCGCCCCGACTCCCCCGAGAGTTCCAAGCAGTAGCTCCTTCAGAACTCCTTCAGAGTTTCCGAGAGCTCCAGTTTCACTTCCTTTAGAGCTGAGACCCCCGAAAGCTCCAGGCTTTACCTTCTTTTAGGGCACCCGAAGGCTGTAGGCTTCTCCTCCTTTAGGGCCCCCAAAAGCTTTAGACCCTCGAGAGCTCCAGGCTTCCCTTCCTTTAGGGAGGGCTCACCCACAGCGATTCACTTGCTCCAAGGCTTCCAGCAGGGTTTCGGCTAATTTAGCGTATGTCGCTCTTAGCAGCACATGACAGAATCCCAGTGCATGTGTTTTGCGGTGCCACGCTCCAGGCTTCAGCTGGTTTCGGGCTGTGAGCGTCAAATCCAATAGTGCTTTGTGAGCAATATTCACTGCTTGCTTGATACAGCAATTTCCACTTTGGCATGTACTTCTTCGTAGTTCTTTTGCAGCAATGTGGCATATTGCTACACGCGCCATGCGTTCTTCCGCCATGCGGCGCATACCTTTGGTATCTTTGGCGCCCATTGTTCTTTTGCTCTTCAAGCTTATGTGCAAGTGGCGGCAGCGTGCGAAAAGGGGATTGCAGAAGTGGATTGTGACAGAGTACCGCTGGCCACGAGTGGAGGATCACGTTTGTTTGGACATAGACCTACCAGCAGCTGAGTGCAGTGATCTGGCAGATCCGGCACATGCTGCTTTGGCAGGGAATTTGGAATTCATGCAAACGTTTGGAGCCAAGATCGCCGAGGGTGTTGATGGATACCTTGCATCGACGTGGGTTCATCGGAACCTTGGGTTGGCTCATCACCAAATCACCCTGGTTGCATGGGGAAGTCCGCACATGGAACTGTCAGATGGAACCTATAGCAAGCAAAAAGCTGGAGCAGCTGCCTGCGAGAAAGCTTGTGTGTTCCAAAGCTTATGCAAGCAATTTCGGCACAGCTTCGTGTTGATTTTATTTGCTGGGCATGGCGTCCATCCTGTTCAAGCAGGAAGCGGCGAAGCAGTCTTGGCTCTTCCTGCTCTACTGGAGTTTGTCTTTGGTAGACCACGCCAGTACTACCCTCGGCATAGTAAAGGGTCACTACGTTCGAAAGGTTTGGCGCAAGTACAAGCTTTGCTGCGAGTACCTCTCACATGGACTGGTTCGGTGCCTTGGACGAGCTGCATTCAAGCCTCCAGCAATCCCAACCAGGATGGATGTGTTGGTCAAATGCTGAATGTGTATAAACTGGTGTCATTGCTGGCGAAACAGGATGGGCACATTCTGTTTTTGGGAGAAGAGCGAGCAGATTTTAGCGCATGTTGTGCGGCGTATCATCACTTGAAATAGTGATCATCAGAAAAAATGGTTGCAGTGCTGCGTGTTGATGTCAGAAAATAACAGCCACTACTAGCTGACATCTTCGCAAATGCCATTTCTGGTAATTATGCAGCTTCTATCGTAGAAACCCACGGTCAAGATACAGCTTCGGCGAATCGAATCAAGCAGCCAGGTCTCACCTTTTTTAGGCCCCCCCCCCCCTTCCACCCGGAGCTACGGGCTTCACCTCCTTTAGGCCCCTGCCGAGAGGTCCAGGTTTCACCTCCTTGAGGCCCCCCCGGAGAGCTCCAGGTTTCACCTCCTTTAGGCACCCCTGAGAGCTCCAGGTTTCACCTCCTTTAGCCCCCCCGAAATCACCCCCTTCAGGCCCCCCCAAAAAGCTCCAGGTTTCACCCCCTTAGCCCCCCAAAACCTCCTTTAGGCCCCTTGGAGAGCTCCAAGTTTCACCCGAGAGAGCTCCCACCTCCTTTAGGTCCCTGAAAGCTCCTGGTTTAGGCCCCCCCGAGAGCTCCACACCTCCTTTAGGCCCCCCGAGAGCTGCAGGTTTCACCTCCTTTAGGCTCCCCGAAGATCAAGCTCCACGCAACACTCTGTGTTCCAGCAGCATTTTCCGTTGCAGTATCAGTCATGTAGCCATGACACTACAACATGGCCTGAACCGAACACTACATTAAGAAGTACAGAGTTAAATATGCCGCAGCCTTGCACCAACCACTTTATAGAGCACCGGAAATGTCACGTGCACTGGACGCCCTTGGCGTTGCGCTGCAGTCAACCG